CAACAAGAGCCTTAGCAGAACGGTAGGAGAGGACAATTCGATAATTCAAGTCTCCAAGCCATATAATTCGACTAAGGAAATAATCCAAAGTTAAAACATGATGCAAAATAGGCAAATTCAAGAATCTCTAAAGGAAGTTCTTACTCATGCTCGAGGATTGTCTCCGGAGACTTCTCATTTTCAGGACCATGAACACGAGGAAACCTTGTCTTCTTAAGAATCTCTATCACATCAGAATTTCTTCTCAGTTCATCACCCTCTTTCTGTCCTGAGGTTAAGTGGCTACAAATGAAGCAAAAGCTTGTTTCATGTAGAGACATGCTAATTGAGATGGATCCCTGAAAATACACAGGCAGAATAGCTCTCATGTCAACATATTTAAATAATTCAACACATTTTCCATCAGTATATGAAACGAAAAGTTAAAACAAGGACAATGATGACTGAATTAAAACTACCTTATTTCCAAGATAACCCATCAATCCTCTGCCAACACATGACACTTTCATGTTTCGAACATGATCCTTCAATTCACTCCTCACCCATATGGTAAGAAATATTCCTACCATTTGCTTACTTGCAACAAGGCAGTACCTGGAACGCCTTGGCATGCCATATCCATCTTCGGTAGAGGCAGGCCCACCATGAGACAATGGTGAAAATAAGACTGTGTTTGGCGAATCTCCAAGGGCATTGTCATCATCAGATGAACTCCATCTTGAGTAGTCACTGGGTCTGGAGTAGTCACTTGCTCTGGAATAGTCACTGGGCCTATAACCCCATCTGAAGCTGGGATCGAAGTCACTTTTCCTCTGACCAAACATTACACGATCACAAACACTGAATCTTCGATCTAGTCGAGGCTGCGTAGTTAAAGGATCATTGTCAATTCCCCAGCTGCTAGAAGTTGTCTGGAACGATCTACGATGGAAGAGTGAGGAATTCTTCTGCCTAGCCGATCCCTCAAAATCTACATTTAATTCTACCACTGGCTGAGGCAGTGGAGACGGTGTATAATACCCACCACCTCCACTAGAACCAGGAAGATTGTTTAAGGTTCTTCCAATGAGAGCAAGCCATTTTTTGGCAGGGCCGTTGTCTTCAGCGCCTAAGATGTTACCAACATTCAAGGGAACTACCTCTTGAAATCTGTAACGCAAATGTGTCGTTAACAACTAGTATTAAGGTTGCTTGGAAAAAACATGACCTTAAATAGTACCAAATCCTACCCAAGAACATAAATATCTGCAGGTGGTGAGGCATGAAGCAAATCATCTATACTCAAATTTCTCGGTGGAGATCTTCCAGCCACATTCCACGTAGCAACAAAAACGCTGTTCATAAAGTAAGAGAAGCAATCATCAGAAATTGGAGTCATCAAAGCTAGATTTGTTTTTCCTGGTGAAAAAGTAAGGTCAAAGAAAAAGCATACCTGTAGTTATGGACATCGACAATTCGAGGATGGTCAAGACTAACTCTGCCTCGCCTGACCTGATCCGTGTTCCTGCCAATCTTCTCTGCACAATACAATGAGGGATTTTAAACACCTTTTACAAATGTTAAGCTAAAAAGAACAAGAGAAAAGGAAGAAAATTTTCAAATGGGTAATTATTCAAAGAAAGGATTTGGGTACTTCGTAATTCTGTACCTGTTTTGCTCTTTTTGATTGTGCAAGGCTCTCTGTCGGAGAAGCTTTTCCTGCTTCTGTATTGTACGTCACCTCCTGGAGAAGGAATTAAGTTACAATGCATCAAATTATAATTCATAAGAGGTTAAAAAATCGTGGAGAAAGAAAACTAGGAATGCAACCAAAAACGGATTTCATTAACAAGAGTAGTTTAAAACAAGCTTGCACGAATCTGTGATTATAAAAATTCAATCAAAATCTGGCAAACTTCGTTGTAGATTTAAAAAAACAGAATCGGCTAGAACTTTAGCTTCAATTCATCGTTTTCCTGAATGGCATAACTATCTTTAACTTCCCTTAATTTCACCCCCACAATGCGTTAGCATCTCAATGGATTGAAGCATGTGCATGTTAGTGCCCAAGTTTAGTTGAAAACGATCACTTTGGAAAGAAACTTATTTGAAGGAAACAAAACAAAAACACCAACCTCCATAAGCACCACCATTTGATTGGCAGGAGTCCTCCTCTTTGCTTTTGATATTGAAGAACTTACTCACCATTCTCTTCGACCATGAGAGCTTCACCAGGCCCAAACACACAAAACAGTTAACAAGTTGCCAAAGATTGAAATATGCAAATTACACAATCAAAATGTAGAATTTCATTTCCCAGGAGAACATAAAATGAAACCGACAAACGAAAGGAGAAATTTTTATTTTTTTTCAGCAGCAGAGTTGAGTCAACAACAATAGGGTAAAATAAAAACCTTGCTTTTCTTGGAATTCTCGTCTCTCATTGTTAATCTTGCACCTCACACAGCCCCTCAAGTATGCTACGTTGTACTCCAGTACAGATTAAGAAAATGCTGCAATCCAAAAGCGACCCGAAATTCTCAACAATTGAAGAAGCAAAATTCTCTTCTTGTGAAACCCTTTGTGAAAATAGAAACAATAACAAACTCTCGTAAGCTTCTCAACTTGAGAACAACAAAGGAGAAAGGGAGAGACAGCAGAATGGGTGAATGTGATGTTCTGTTTCGCTCTTGTGATGCCACAACCACACCCTTGAAAATTTAAGAACAAGAAAACAAGGTCCCTGTAAATATGTCACCAACTAGAAAGAAAGGCAACGCCTTTTAAGTATTTAATGCCTTTAAATGAGACGAGGAACAAGACAATACGACAAGCAAAGCAATAGAGAGAGAGAGAGATGTGTTTCTCTCTCTTGGGAAAAACTCACTGCCTCGTTCTCTGCAACAACCACCAAGTATCAAATTTGAACAGAATAAAGTACTGTGAGGGTTAAATATATTTACTTTTTAAAATGGCAACATCTCAGTTGAAGACAAGGCAAAGATGAAGGGGGCAGAACAGGTCGTTTAGCTTTAACGTTTTGGTCAGATGAACAAAGACTGCCCCTGTTCAGCAAAGTGAGTGAGATCTACCAGTATCTTATAGCTGTAATCTTTCTTCCAGTTTCGGTCTTCCGACCAAAGCAAAAGCAGTTGAACGTGGAAAAAGATAAAAGGGTGGTTGTGATATATCTATTAATTTGGAAAACGTATCTGTCTCTACCTATGTGAAATGTGTGTGTATTTTTTTCTTAGTCTTTTGTTAGACAAGGAACGTTTGTAGCACAGCTTGTTACATGGTACTCCAAACATTGATTCTGTCCTGTCTTATATTTCCATGGATTTGTGATAGAATATAGATTCATAGATAGTATGCTGTCATTGGTTGGAAAGACATCAATCTGGTAAATCTCACTTTAAAAATTGATACATCCACGTGAAACACAAGTTCTATATTTCACAATTTTTATCGTGAAACTGGAAAAATAAACACTAGTTCAGTAATTTATGCTCCGTTGATAAATAGAAAAGTAAAGGAAAAAAAAAAAAGAAAAAAACAGAACCATTTTGTGAGTTTTTCTCTTCTTTACAGTCTCGGGCGCCGTCCAAGTTGCTGCTTTTGAAATCCTCAAACAGTCAATAATCCATGCATTTCTTTCCCATAAAGAACTTTGTCAAAAGAGAATGAACCACTATTTAGTTTCAGTTTCGAAAACTGTGAATTTCTTCAGGAAACTGATGCAATAACGAACAATGACAGTGTGTCAAAAATGTTTGGTAGATTATTAAGCATCATAAATNCATGGATTTGTGATAGAATATAGATTCATAGATAGTATGCTGTCATTGGTTGGAAAGACATCAATCTGGTAAATCTCACTTTAAAAATTGATACATCCACGTGAAACACAAGTTCTATATTTCACAATTTTTATCGTGAAACTGGAAAAATAAACACTTGTTCAGTAATTTATGCTCCGTTGATAAATAGAAAAGTAAAGGAAAAAAAAAAAAGAAAAAAACAGAACCATTTTGTGAGTTTTTCTCTTCTTTACAGTCTCGGGCGCCGTCCAAGTTGCTGCTTTTGAAATCCTCAAACAGTCAATAATCCATGCATTTCTTTCCCATAAAGAACTTTGTCAAAAGAGAATGAACCACTATTTAGTTTCAGTTTCGAAAACTGTGAATTTCTTCAGGAAACTGATGCAATAACGAACAATGACAGTGTGTCAAAAATGTTTGGTAGATTATTAAGCATCATAAATTTGTGTTATAGTGACTAAAAAGTTGGAAATAAATTAGTGTGTGAAGAATATAATATATATGTTTATGAATGAAAGGAGTCACTAACACTAACATGGTTATATCCTTACCTTCAGGGAATAGAGTTGGTGATGTGATGATGTGACACACTTTTACTTTTTGCTAGATTTTGAGAGTATTGTTGCGTTTATTCGTTGTTAATTTGGCTCTTTGGAATTATTTGAGGACACAGAGAAGAAAAAGAAAGAATGGGGGCGGCAAAGAGTAAGGAAATTTGGGCCATATATGGTAATTGAAAATGTCTAAAGAAAAAAAAGTGGGCCCACAGTTTGGGTTGTGGTCTTAATCTATTTGTCTTCTATCTTTGAGTATTGTTGGCAACCTAAAATAAACAAGATCTTCTTTTGTAGAACATAACCTTGAATGAGTCATAAGGGGATGCTATCACTATACATAATTGTGTATGAGATTTTTTGTTTCTAGAATAAGTCATAAGGGGATGATGTCATCGATGCTAGAGTGATAAAGTTATTTAAAAACGAATATCTATAGTTATAATATTAAAAGGAACAAATCATTTTTTAATGAGATGAATCTGATATGACCAAAAATAGGTTTAGAGGGTAAAAACTTATATTCCAAAATAATCAAAATATTAAAGAGATACAGAATTGTCAACTTATAAAAAGCTAGTTTATTACTTAAAAAAGAGAATTAAATAAATACTGAATGCTCTGGTTTAAATTTTTCATATTCTTTTTTAACTTCGTCTCGTTCCAATATTTTTAGCTTACTCTTTTATAAACATTGCTGTAATGATTGTGAACATATAGTAGTAATGACATGCTAGTACATATGAACCGTGGCCGACATGATCAAGACAACTTATATCATTGCCTGATTTAGTCTTTCAGTGCACCCAATTCAATCTTTATATCAAGCTAATTTGTATACATTCAATATCATGCAAAATTCTACACTTTGTTAAAAGACTCAATAAACATTAAATAGAATATATATATTCTACTATACCCAGTGACCAATCCGCGAAGGAGATATCAGTAGCCACAATAGTCAGCCGACTAGTTGTTCGGCAAGCAAACCAGAAAAGGTAAATATTATTAATGGTCAATTAATACGTTTAATGGTCATATTAAGAACGAATATACGGTATTTATGAGTGATTGACACGTTATATGACCCAAAAATATATTAAACTAATGGTTAATCAATGGACTTGGTTGTCACAAGTCCTATAAATATACAGTTGGTATCCAGGTACAAATATCTTTTACTATTCCAATAAAATATAGACTTCTTTATGAAACATATCTGATTTGAGCGTCAGAGTGTCTTCTGCAGGTCAAACACCTGCCAGAGTGGATTGCGTTATTGGAAAAAATTGGACGAGAGAAGGACGACCGATCCTTGGACCAATTCAACCGAAACATTTTTACGTGTCTACACTTTTGGTATGAATAAAGCCAAACAATTTCCATCCAATCACCTGGCAACCGATCGGCTGTCAAAAAAACTAATGAGGAAATGTAAATATCATTAATGGCCAACTAATACGTTTAATGACCATATTAAATGTAAATATACGCTATTTATGAGTGATTGACAGGTCATATTGCATAAAAATATGGTATTAATGGACAATTAGCAGGTATATTAGCAAATATTATTGGATTTATTGTCATATTAAATACGAATTAATGAGCTTGATTGTCATAAGCTCTGTAAATATAGGGTTAAGCTCAGGTAAAAACATTTTTTTCTATCCTAAGCCCAAGTCAAGACATCTTTTTCTATCCTCATAAAATATAGACCTCTTGAAAACATATCTGACTTGAACGTCAGAGTGTATTTTGCAGGTCAATCACTTGTCAGGGTGGATTACGTCTCGGACAAACTTGGACGAGAGAAGAACGACCAACCCTTGGACCAATTCAACCGAAACATATATAATATATATAATGAAGAAATAATTTAGTTAAGAGGAAAATAAACTTCTTTATTTTCAGTATTTATCTATTTATATTATTTTTTACTGTACTTATACTATTCAAGTAATCAAAGAGGATTCAGTGCCTACTTAATCACGATTTAAACTTTATTTTAAGTTACACCGAGAAATCAGCTAACTCCCAAGCTCAACTAAATATGTAGAATGTCGAAAGAAAAAATTCATTTCCAGTAATGAACTACATAAAAAAAAACAAACAGAATGAACCACTGTTCATGTAAAAAAGGATTTTCTTTTTTTAGTAAACTGAAATATTAATGTAAAAAAGGAAAACTAGAAATACATTTTCCAACTCTGTTTTGTAACAAGACTCTCTACTATTGTTCAGAAAAAGCGTTCCTATTATTTATTCTATTTTATTTAAGCTACTTTACTCTTGAATACGTCGTCGTGTAATGATTTGTCTTCATATGTGATTTGGTGGTTGGAATATGTAATTAGTTACTTTATTTTAGCATCGTTTTGCCCATATTTCCTATTTTGGCTCGCTGTTGAAATATAGTCTTTTTTTAATCCAAGAATCAAAGGAGAAAGTTGTATGTTTATGTAATGATTGTCTGGTTTATTTAAACCACTAATCACACGTTTTAAGTACGATTACAAAAGTAAGAGGAGACAAGTCTCCCCTCTGCCCTCGTTTCAGAGAACAAAACAGAGTATTGCAAAAACAGGGTGCCGTAGCTTTTGCCCAAAACATGCAGGGGTTACAGCGACATCATAACAACAAAAATAGTTCCACAAACTAAATGCCCTAACAACTTAGAACATGTGTTAACTGGATTCAGAGTGTCTCAAGAATATTATGTGAATGAAAATCTCACAAACCAAATTGAAAATAGCAAGGAATTTGTAGAGAGAAAAAAAGGTTAGT